TTCTTGACTAAAGGGTATTTGTACAAGGAGCTGTGGCTTGCCACTGTGTTCACAAAAATTAAGGTCTTCTGGAGAGGCTTGGGAGCTACCACCAGGGATGGAGGGGCGGTATAGCCTGCAGAGTCAAGTGTTCTGTCCCCATTGTGAAAGTTTGATTCTAAGCTTGTATAAATATCTCACAGATAGAGGGATGAATATACAATACCGAGATACAACTATGAACTGGGCTGAGCAACAAGTTTGAGGTTGTATTCCTTGTCAAGTTCAAGTCTAGGATATCAGTGAATAAAGAAACCAGATAGACTGATAGGAAACTTAGCATTACTGTGTGAAAGTTAAGATAATTCTAAGAATCTGTTTTCAGTGGATAAACTTCTTATCAGTACACAGATGAACAGTGGGAGTCCCTAAGTGCAAAGACAAGGCTTTGATCAAAAACATCAGAAGAGAAAATAAGCCTGGAGAGGAATTTTCTGGCAAGAAAATGAAGAGCAGATAGAATTAAGAATTGTGGTGAAAAAAAATGATTGCTGTTAAGAGATTGAGACCCAGAATGCAAGTAATTTTCACCTTACATGGCTAACAGGAATGTGGTATGGATTTGGAAACAGTGAGTTGTGAAAGATAATGAGTTTTTATCTAGTGTTTCCAGAAAATGTCATGATTCACCAATGCCGAAGCTCTGAGCATGTAGGACATGAGTGCCAGCAAATATGCACTAGTTGTTCCTATGGCAGACTTTTTCAAGTTTGAGTCCAAATGCTTTGTCATTTCCTTAGTGAGGGCTTCCAGTAGAACCTTACTTAAAGTATGCCTGCCTCTAGCCTTTTTTTGTTATATGGTTTTGATTATTTTATTCATACCTTTTACTAAAATTACTAAATATATTAAAATTATTTTGTCTATTTGCTTGCTTGTTTACTGCCTACCTCTTCTCCATGAGGAAAGATAGCACATCAGTCCTTTTCTCTTAGATCTCTAACACCAGCTGGACAGCAGGAGCTTTAACAGTATTTCTTGAATGAAAGAATAAATGAAGGAAAGAAAGCTCCATATTTACCAACACTGTTTCAAGTGCTACCATGGTGCCCCCTTGCTTTGACCAATTCTATTATTTTTCATGAAACTTGAATGAAACCTTGTCAGGTATATTCTCTCACAAGCTGCTATTAGTTAAAGTAGGGTCTCAAAAGTCACAGGGAGCTTTTCCCCCAAGATGTTCTCCCACTTCTAGAAAGCCGTCGTCATCTTTATTGCTGTTTATGTCCTTTGATGTCTTGTGTGACTCAAAACACCCTGTATGATTTTTTTTTAAAGATTTTATTTATCTGACAGAGACACAGCAAGAGAGGGAACACAAGCAGGGGGAGTGGGAGAGGGACAAGCAGTCTTCCCGCCAAGCAGGGAACCCGATGTGGGGCTTGATCCCAGGACCCTGGGATCATGACCTGAGCCAAAGGCAGACCCTTAATGACTGAGCCACCCAGGCGCCCCACCATGTATGATTTCTGCATCGTTAATACAATGGGCCATTTACCTCTGTATTCTGCTTTTTACATGACTGGCTTTAAATTTGTTGATGATTATGAAGGGATGACTCTTGGGAATAATTTATAGTAGTATTTTGGGAAGAGCTTACTTCATAACCTGGGACTTCTTTATAAGACACAGAAAATTACCATTTTAAAGGAAAAACATCAAACATTACTATTCGTAAAGCTGTTCTATACAAGGTTTTAACAAGACTGAAAATCCTGTAATATGTATGATGAACTAAAGTTTTCATTAATGCAGGGGTTATAGATCTGGTAGTAAAAGGTGGATGCAGAGATAAGATTTAAAAAATTAATTCCCAATTATAATTCTGATTTTTTTAGGATACACATTATATACTAGCAATCTAAATAGCACTATCTTACCTCTTTTTTTTCTTTAAATTTTTTATTATGTTAATCACCATACATTACATCATTAGTTTTTGATGTAGTGTTCCACGATTCATTGTTTGTGCATAACACCCAGGGCTCTACGCAGAACGTGCCCTCAATACCCATCACCAGGCTAACCCATCCCCCCACCCCCCTCCCCCCTAGACCTCTCAGTTTGTTTTTGAGTCCATCGTCTCTCATGGGATGTCTCCCCTCCGATTTACCCCCCTTCATTCTTTCCCTCCTGCTATCTTTTTTTTTTTCTTAACATATATTGCATTATTTGTTTCAGAGGTACAGATCTGTGATTCAACAGTCTTGCACAATTCACAGCGCTCACCGTAGCACATACCCTCCCCAATGTCTATCACCCAGCTACCCCATCCCTCCCACCCCCCACCACTCCAGCAACCCTAACCTCTTAATTAGATAAGACTGCAGGTTTATATTGGCTATAGAAATGGGTAGTAATATCAATGATAGAACCCATCCACATATTAGGCAGCACTCTTAAAGTAGATAGGAAGTACGTAATATTAACTGACACTCTTGTAATATTTTCTATTAATAGGTTCTTTTCCAAGCACTCGATACACTTAACATACATAATCCTTCAAGATTTCTGTGAGGGGCTGCCTGGGTGGCTCAGTTGGTTAAGTGTCTGGTTAAGCATCTGACTTTGGCTCAGGTCGTGATCTCATGGTCATGGGATCAAGCCCCACATTGGGCTCCGCACTCAGCGGGAGCCTGTTTGTTTCTTTTCCTCTGGTCCTCCCCCTGCTTGCGCACGTGCTCTCTCCCCATAAATAAATAAAATCAAGAAAAAAAGAGTTCTGGGAGGAAACTGTTGGTATTTTAATAGAGAAGGAAACCAAGGTACACAGAGCAGCTATGCCCAGAGTCACAGCCATTAACTGAAAGATCTGGAATTCACACCCAGGCATTCTGTCAACAGTGTATATGCTCTTTAACCCTGGGATATACAAGTTACTGGAGCTTATTTGAGTATTTTAATGTTATTTTTTATTCACAAAGGTTTTAAAACATAGGACCAAGCTAGAACTTGACAACTGAGGGTTCTAGAGGGGAGGTGGGTGGAAGGATGGGTTAGCCCGGTGATGGGTATTAAAGAGGGCACATTCTGCACGGAGCACTGAGTGTTATACGCAAACAATGAATCATGGAACACTACATCAAAAACTAATGATGTAATGAGATTAACATAACATAATAATAAAAAAAAGTCACTTAGTAATTATTCGGCCCCATTCATTTAATAGGGTTGACAGGAGAGAACTTCATTAAATTGGATCATCGTTTCAGTGTTAGCCAAGCAGGTTGTAGGAATTGAATGTATCCAGATATTCGTTCTTTGAAAATGGTAAAGCATCGTTATCCCTGCCTGCTGACTTTGTCATTTGCTATAGTTGGCTATCTTAAAACCATACATCTGTGGTTTTTGGTATGCTTTAAATACTTAGTAATGCACAACATTAATAATTTAAGGAAACCATATGATTATCTCAAAAGATAACAGTAACAATTTAATAAAATTCAGGGTAAAATTTTTTATTAAACTGGGATGAGATTATTTTTATCTGAATGATTATGGCAAAACTGATAGCATTTTTACTGAGATGGGGAGTACAAGGAAGATGACTATTATCACTACCCCTCTTCATCATGTTACTAGAAGTACTAATCAGTGCAATAGGCTGAAAAAAAGTGAAATTATAGAATTGGAAAGAGAATAGCAATCATCTTTATTTGTGGATTGTAGCATTGTATTCCTGTAAAAACAAGATAATCTTCAAAAAACAACCTGAGTTTAAAAGCCTTAGCAAGATTTCTGGACTTAAAAACATCAGTATAGTAAAATTAGGTAGTGACTTGAGTGAAAATTGCAGATTAGGCCCTTCCATAAATCCTCTTCTCCATAAAAGCAATGAGAACATGGAAAACATTCTCAGCATCAATTTTTTTTTTCCAAACTCTGGAAATTAAGTAAAGGTCTTCAGCAATCCAGGTAGTGTTTATTGAAAAACAATGACTAGACTTTTGGTTTTGGCTCAGGTCGTGATCTCAGGGTCACAAGATCGAGTTCCATGTCAGGTTCCATGCTCAGCATGGAGTCTGCTTGAGGTTCTCTCTCTCCCTCTCACTCTGCCCACTCATGTGTGTGCTCTCTCTCTCTCAAATAATTAAATCTTAAAAAAAAAGTGACTGAATCTTGTTAAGTATAATGACCCTCCACTCCTTTTTTCTGAGGTAACTCTTAAAACCAGCAACCTGGGGACAGGAGTAAGCTTGGAGCTCCTTCAAAGCCCCATTCCCAGAAAGTTGTCATTATTTTCCCTGTCTGGTTGGTCCATGGAGGACCTTACTCTTAATACTGTCTTTATTTGACCTGATTGAGAGTTCACATAGTATTAACAGCCTTTTATGGGGATGAGTCTTGAAAACAATAAAAGGCAAATATTTAACATTGCAGTTGCCTATAGTAGAAGCTAAAAGTTGAAGAAAACAATAGGCTGATCCAAAAGCTTGAAAGTAAAATCCAAGTAACAAGATGTATATACAATGCTTTGAAAAGCTACAGTATCTTTCTCAGAGTCCAAAAGGCAATGCACATGCATAGAGCTTTGTACATACCCAGAATTGTACACAGTGTAGGAAGGCCCTAAGAATATTCTAGTCTCTAACCTCAGGCTGAGTTTAAGGTTTTGCCAATACAGGAAGTGAAGATAAGAGTTATACAGTACCTTGCTGAACTTTGGTATCACCAACCTGCACACAGCCCCTTAGGAAAGATTGCAGATTTATTGGTTCCAAGAATTTAAGCAAATTTCTGTCTATCATTAGTTGGCCTGTAAGATGCTGAAGAGAGACTTCAGTGGCCACATGTGACAAAGACTATCACCTGTCTTGAATTAGTTCAGAAAAGTCACTAAACACACAAAATAATAACAAATAGGCAAAAAAACAAACTTTGGGGAGGGAGTACAGTCTAATCCCAGAATTGCCACATTATATTAGTTTAAATGCCCAGTTTAAGAAGAAAAATACTAATACTTGCTTTGGCAGCACATATACTAAAACTGGAATGATAAAGAGAAGATTAGCATGGCCTCTGCGCAAGGATAACCTGCAGATTCGCGAAGCATTCCATAAAACAGAAACTAGATGTGAAAAAATAATGGCCCATGCTCTAGGAAGAATAAATAAAAGCCAACAATTTTCTCTAAAGCCCATGTGTTGGACTTAATGGAAAAAATTTAAATCTGCTAGTTCAACTATGTTTAAAGAACTGGAAAAAAAAATGTTTAAAGAACTAAAGGAAAATATGAGCATGTGTCTCACCAAAAGAGAATATTAAAGAAGAGATAGAAATCACATGAAAATGGATAAAATTTAGAATTTCTGGGGTGGAAAAATGTAAGAATATTAAATATCGGGTTCTATGTGTAAGGAGCTTGGAAGTCACCATTCTGTCCTAACATCCAGTGAGAAAAAAATGAACAGTTCTCCTAGGATCCATAAAAGAGATCAGGACACAAGGAAGACTATAATTCTCAAGATCAGAGAAACATAGACATATACTGGGAGTCAAAGATCACCCGAGTAGAGACTCATGAGTGGAAACTATCACATGAACAAGTACAGGGGTAGGAAAAGTTGACCTGTAATTGTTAGAGGCTCATGGTGACACCCTACCCTCCAAATTTTGTGGGATTTATCTCCAGGAGCTTTACCAGTTTCATACAATAAACATCACAGAAAATTGCCTTCCTGCTTTTGGCAGGGGGATGGAAAAGTAACTCTCTTGATATTTGCCAGAGACACATTGTTCTTTTTAACAATGCCTGCCCTCAAGAGAAACTATTTAACCAGAGCCTGACTGACCTGAAGGAAGAGAAATACCTAATCTAGTCAGTCCCAGACTTGCATATGAGAGAAAGGAAATACTCAACTCCAGCCTCCTAGAGCCATCCTGCCCTACCTAAGGAAGGCTATATACTATATAATTTCAACTACATGACATTCTGTAAATGGCAAAACTATGAAGACAGTAAAAACTTCAGTAGTTGCCAGGGGTTGGGGATGAATACACAGAGCACAAAGGATTTTTAGGGCAGTGAAAATACTCTGTATGATACTAAAATGATGGATACACATCGTTATACATTTGTCAAAACTCATAGAGTGTCCAACAGCAAGAGTGAACATTAAGATAAACCCTGGACTTTGGGTGATAATGGTCTGTCAATATAGGTTCATTACTTGAGAACAAATGTACCACTCTGGTGAGGGATTTGATAATGGGAGAGTCTATACATGTGTAGGGGCAGGAGGGACATGAGAAGTATCTGTATATTTCACTCAATTTTCCTGTGAACCTAAAACTTTTTTTAAATGTCTTAAAAATACTGTAGGTTATCAACAGGTTTTTTGAGTGGACAGAAGAAATTATTAGCCATCTTGAAAATAGATCAGTTGAGATAATCCAGTCTGAACAACAGAAAGAAAAAAGAATGAAGAAAATTGAAATGAGTTTCAGAAAGCTCTGAGACACCCTTAGGTGTATTGAGATATGCATAGTGGACATTCCAAAAGAAGAGATGAAGAAAAGTGCAACAAACAATATTGAAAGACATAATGACTGAAAAATTTTCAAATATGATGAAAACACTAATCTGTACATCCAAGAAACTCAACAAATTCCAAGTAAGGTAAACCGAAAGAGATGCGTACATGGACACATCTTAATAGCTAGAGAGAAGCTCTCACATAACCTTCCACATATGAAGGTCCTCAATCTGATTAAAAGCTATTTATTCAAAAACCCTGGTGGTCTAACATACTAAGTGGGATAACATACTAAGAATGGTGATGGAAAAGAAAAAAGGTCAACCAAGAATTCTATATACAACAAAACTACACATAAAAAAGTGGGAGAAATTATTACATTGACAGATAAACACCTAGAGAATTCATGGCTAGTAGATCAGCCCTACAAAATATAGGAAGTCCCCCAGGATGAAATGAAATTAGACCATAACCTGCAAGAAGGAAGAGTGGTGGTTGATGAAACATAAATGACAGTAAAAGGATTTTGAGAAAATTCTACACAAAATAATAGAAAAGTGAAGGAAGCAAGATATTAAAAGGAATTATAGACCATGTTCAAGTAGAATTTATTCCAGGAATGCAAAGTTGGTTCAAAATATGAGAACCAATGATCTAATTTACCTTGTTAATAGAGATTCAGAAAACACATGCCAAAACAAATGCCAACAAAGCATTTGACAAAGTCCAACTTCTCATGATTAAAAAATATACTCAGCAAACTGGGGATAGAAAGTATATTACCTTTCTATAGCTGCTGGACCAAATTATTATGACAGTCGCTTTTACAATACAATTTTTTCTTTTTTTTTTTTTTAAAAGATTTTATTTATTTATTTGACAGAGAAATAGCGAGAGCAGGAACACAAGCAGGGGGAATGGGAGAGAGAGAAGTAGACTTCCCACGGAGCAGGGAGCCCGATGCAGGCCTCAATCCCAGGACCCTGGGATCATGACCTGAGCTGAAGGCAGATGCTTAATGACTGAGCCACCCAGGCACCCAATACAAATTTTTTCTTACTTTACAGTTTCATAGTATAGAAGTCCAAAATGAGTCTCACTGGAATAAAAGTAACAGTTGGGCTGCATTAATCTCTGGAGGCTCTAGGGGAGAATCTCTTTTCCAGACCTAAGTAATTGGAAAGATATCCCATAATCATGAATTGGAAGACTTAATCATTTTAAGGTGGTATTATCCCCAGAATGCATCTACTGATTCAACACATTTTCTATTAAAACTCTAGCTGTCTTTTTTGTTGTTGCAGGAATTGGAAAGTGGATCCTCAGTATCACACGGAAATTCAAGTGATGCAGTATAAGCAAAACAATGTTGAAAAAGAATAGCAAAGTTGTAGGATTGATTTTCCATTTTCAGAAGTTACCACAGAGTTGAAGTAATCAAGACTATTACACTGTTATGAGGATAGACATATAATGGAATAGAATTGAGAGTTCAGAAGTAAACTCATAAATTCATAATTGTTTTTATCAGAGTTCCAAGATTTTGTGGGGGAAAATAATATTTTCAACAAATTTGGTAGAAAGACAACTAGATATGAAACTGAGATGCCACTCCCACCATTTACAAAAATTAATGAACAAATACCATATTTCACTCATATATGGAATTTAAGAAACAAAAGCGGTGAATATAGGGGAAGGGAAGGAAAAATAAAAGATGAAAATTGAGAGGGAGGCAAACCATAAGAAATGCTGAACTCTAGGAAACAGAGTTGCTGGAGGGGAGGTGGGTGGGGGAAAGGGGTATTTGGTTGATGGGCGTTAAGGAGGGCTCTTGATGTAATGAGCACTAGGTGTTATGCAACAGATGAATCACTAAATTCTACCTCTGAAACTAATAAAAAAATGAGTTCAATAATATACTGATACAAAATAAGTTTAATTTTCTCCCCATTAAAATGACAGTTTGTTAGATCATTGGTCTGCTTTTAATAAGAGATTATAAAAGGTTTTTCTTTACCTTTTGTATTATCTGCCAAGGAAATATTCTATGTCTTATCAAAATAAAAAATTAGAAATGGATAAAAAATTTAAGTGAAGAACTGAAATGATAATATTTTTATAAGAAAACAAAGACCCAAATCTTCCTTATGCTGGATTAGGCAGTGGTTTCTTAAATGTGACCCCAAAGCCACAAAGAGCCAAAGAAAAAGTAGATAAATTAAGTATGCTGAAATAGAAAATATTTTTGATTCAAAGTAAGCTATTGAGAAAAGTGAATGTAGAAACCACAGAATGGGAGATAATAGTAAATTGTATATTTGATCAGTCTAGGATCTAGAATTCATAAACAAGTCTTAGAACTTAATAATACAAAGGAAATTAACCCAATCAAAAATGGGAAGATGTTTTGATTAAATATTTTTCTAAAGAAGATATAAAAAGAGCCAATAAGCACATGAAAAGATCCTCAAGATCATTAACTCTTAGGGAAATGCAAATCAAAATAAGAGAGACCACTTCAGACCCACTACAATAGGTAGAAAAAAATATGCACATTAGTAAATTTGATGTGGTTATGGAGAAATTGGAACCTTCATAAATTGCTGGTAGGGATGTAAAATGGTGCAACTCTTGTATAAAGTAGTTTGGTCATTGCTCAAAAAGTTCATTGTAGGGTTACAATATGGCTCAGCATTTCATTCCTAGGTACTGAAAATAATTGAAAGCACAAAATATTTGTACATGAATGTTCATGGCATTGTTGCTCATAATAGCCGGAAACTGGAAACCATCCATATGTCCATCAGTTGGTAAATGGCTAGAAAAAATGGTATATCCGTACAGTGGAATATTCCATCATAAAAAATGAAGAAATACTGGTACATGCTACAATATGGATGAATCTTTAAAACGTGCTAGGTGAAAGAAGCCAAACACCGAAGTATACATATAATTTCAATTATAAGATATCCATAATAGAGAAATCTATGGAGGCAGAAAGTAGGTTAATGGTTTCCAGGGGTTGTGGATGGCCATGGGAAGTGAATGTCAATGGGCATGTGGTTTCTTTTTGAAGTGATCAAAATGTTCTGGAATTGTATAATGCTGACACTTGCTCAACTTTGTGGATATACTAAAAATCACTCATTGTACGCTTGAAAGGGGTAAATGTAATGGTATGTGAATTATAGCTCTATAAAAATTGAAAATATATTAATATTTAGAAAGTGAAATTTCTAAGGAGCCATTTACAATAGCATCAGAATCAAGTACCTACAGGAGAATCAAACAAAAGATGTATACAACCATCACAGAGGAAATAATAAAACTTTATGGAGAGATAAAAGAATAAAAAAAAGGAAAAACCTCCCTTGTTCATGAATTGGAATGTTCAGTATTTAAAAAAAAATGAAAATTCCCTGAAAACTGTAAAACAATCAAAATAAAAATCACAACAGGTGTTTTGTTATGTTTTGCTTTGCGATTCAGCTAGCCAATTCTAAAATTTATAGCAAGCTGTAAATGGCTTAGGAAAGCAAAGACATTCTTGAAGTGAAACGAAAAGGCAGAGCTTCTATAATATCA